AGTGCTGTTCATATTCGAATTTACGAAGTATTCGAAGAATTCGAATATTCGAATAGTAAACGAAGTCTTCGAAGTTGAAAAAAACTTCGAAGTTTTTGTGAATTTTTGTTCTCGAAGTCTTCGAAGTTTAAGCGTAGTGAAAAACTACGAAGATTTCGAAGACTTCGTAAGCAGAAGGTGAAGTGAGAGCGCAAAATGCAAACAAACGTGCATCACACAAATTATTTGAAGGATGAAAGCATTTGCTTCGTTTGTACGGTTTTATGTTTTCTTTTTTTTTGGTATTCTATGCAGAAAATTAAAAACATGGTTTTTTGTTTTATTTTATTACATAAAATTTATTTTATTATTAAATATGTATTATAATATATATTATTATTAAATATGTTATTATTAAATAGTATTTATATTAAATAAAAAATTTACATTTTAAATAACTTATATATATTATTTATATTTAAAAAATCATATTAATATAATATAAAATACATATGTAAGAATATGAAAATATTGATATTGATGGATTTTATTAGTAAAGGAAATTGAATAAAAGTTTTCATTTTTCTTTTAAAAAAAAATCATAAATTAAAACCTTGAAAATTAGTTATGTAAAAATGAGTTTTGCTCATTAATGCATAATTATTTGACATGTATGAGCTGTGATGAACACACAGGTAAGCACAAATTTATTTTTTGCATAATAAAAAAATAATTTTTCATTTTTTTATTGTAAATATAATTTTTTAAATATGAATAATAAATATAAGTCATTTAAAATGTAAATTTTTTATTTAATATAAATAATATTTAATAATAACATATTTAATAATAATATATATTATAATACATATTTAATAATAAAATAAATTTTATGTAATAAAATAAAACAAAAAAACATGCTTTTAATTTTCTGCATAGAATACCAAAAAAAACAAAACATAAAACCGTACAAACAAAGCAAACGCTTTCATCCCTCAAATAATTTGTGTGATGCACGTTTGTTCGAGAACAAAAACTCACAAAAACTTCGAAGTTTTTTCCAACTTCGAAGACTTCGTTGAAATGCGAATATTTGAATTTCTTCGAATACTTCGTAAATTCGAATATGAACAGCACTAATACAGATAGCGCTTTTCCTTCTGCCTCCTACATACTCCGGCCTTAGCGCTGTGACACAATTTATTTATATAAAAAAATTGAATTTTTGGTAAAAAATAGAGAATTTTTTAAAAAATGATTATAAAAAAACTGTGCATTAGATTTTTACGATTTTGAGCTTTTTGAAAAGGAAATTTCTTCATCTTTATAAAAATGTATAGATGATTTTGGTCCCGTTCGTGCATGAAAATTTATTGAGATATATAAATGCATACTATAAAAAAAATTCTTTTTTTTTAATGAAATTTCTATGATATAATTGAAATATTTTGTTGATATTTTACAATTATGCATTATTTTGTATATCTTAACATTTCTCATCTTTACTTTTTTAAAAACATGTGTTTAAAAAGAAATAATAATTTTCATGTTTGATTAAATTTCCTGGGATGAAGACAAAATCAATCTTTCTGATTTATGTTGCAATTGAAAGTGTGTTTTATTGCCTTTAAAGGTTTTCGCGTGCATTTGGATCTTCATTGTAGTTTTTTATAAATTAATCTTTTTATATAAGAAAGTCGCTTTTTCTATTCAAATTTTCATTAATTTATTTATTCGCAATACTTGCGTAAAAAAATACAAACATCATATTTGTACTTGAAACTTAGATGGCGCTGGCATGCCTGCCTTGAGTGTGCTCCGCATTTGGCGCTGTGAGGGTGGAGGTTTTTTTCAAATAATTGAGTTTTTGGTAAAAAATTGACAATTTTTAAAAAATAATAGAGAAAAAACTGTGCATACGATTTTTATGATTTTAAGTTTTTTGGAAAGTAAATTTTATTGTCTTTATAGAAAAATTAATTTTGTTTCGGTCCCCTTTTTGCACGCGAAGATATAATGATTACAGTAAAGTAAGCTAAAAAAAATTGCTATTTTTTAACAATTTTTTATGATAAAATTAAAATATCTAATTGAGGTTTTAAAATTGTGTTTTGTGATATATTTCTGAACATTTTGATGATATTTAAGCAGTTTCGATATCGAACTTTAATGCAATTTTGCACAAAATCTGTGCATACGATTTTTGCTTTTATTGCTTTATTGGAAAGCTTGTTTTATTGCCTTTCAGATGAGTATCCGTGCAAGTCGGTCCCGTTTGTGGTTGTTTTTTAATAATTTTTTAAGTAAAAAAAGTCAGTTTTTTCAAAAAATTTGATTTTTTTATTTTTTCAATATCTCAGTTATTACGAAACATACAGATATGGGGTGTATTCCAAATGAAAGATAATTGAATTTTCTATCCAAATCATATTTCAAACTTGGTGAAAAAGCTTAAATTTGGCTAAATTTGACAAATTAATACACTTAGAAAAATTTCGTGTTCCAATTCCGGATTGGTCCCCTCAGCGTCGTTGCTATCTAGGCTCAGGTTAAAAGTTATGAATAAATTAGTGACCCCATCTTTTGGGGCTGATTTTTATTTCTATTTTTCATACAAATTACATCATTTACACATAAAAGTTGAATGTAGATAGTAAATTAATTCAATTTAATAAAATAATAAATTTGTCCTTAATAAAGGTATACTGTATTTTTCATGCGGCGAAAAATATTCCACTTCCATTTTGGACTTATCATCGACGCTATCTTCACGCACATAACATAGTTTCAGTTCTTCGATTATTGTTAACCACGTGAGCGTCTCAGTAATAGGCGGAATAAAGGGATGAATCATATTCGGTTAAAATTATTAACAAAGGTTATCAAAGTATTTAATACCATAAATATATAATTTTAATATCACATAATTTTTAGATTTCTCCTATCAGTGCTATTAAATGTATATGTAGAACCACATGCAGTGGTGTACAATCTGATGAAAGAGATTTAAATACTAATAAGCATAAACTTGCCAAAATTGAACCAAAAATAAATTTAACTTACACATGTCAAATTTGCAAAATTCGTAACAGTAATATCATATCTAAGGTGGCATATAGTAAGGGTGTTGTAATTGTTCAGTGTAACGGATGCCAAAACAGACACCTAATTGTCGATCATCTAAATTGGTTTCACAAATAATGTGTGTAATGTATTAAGATTAATTTTATTATTTTTTTTTTTTTATTAAAAATACCGTTAATTGAAAAATTCCAACCACGACTTTTAGTTTTGATTACATAGTTTATAATAAATGTAGACGGTTTATATTTTAAAAATCTGCATTGCCGTTTCCAGTGTAGTGTCAATAAACCATGACCATACGCAATTCCTTTTGTTCGAAATTGTGATCCGGCACTTTAACTTTAAACATTTCAAATTAATATTTATAACCCAAAAAAACAAATTGCAAAGCAATATAATATATGAGTTGAAAATTCGACTCCTTTGTCATCAACGTTTTGTTTCGAAGAAAAATTGCTTCAACATATTGCAAGCAATTGTGCATGCCATCTTTTCAGCTGCTTACCATATGTGTGTCAACTAATAAGAAATTATGTTTTTGATCAATGACTTAAGTAGGTTAGGTTAGGTT